CTTTTTAATGTCTCACAGAATAGAAATCATTCTCGTTTAGGGGAAAATGTTTCCCTTTTTGAAAAGCTAGGGCCCCTCGTTTGGATTTCATCAGCAACCGTTTATCAGGTTCTAGCGAAATTGGATGATCCATCCATGGATCAGAATTTCCCATCCTGTGGTTTGGATGCATCAAGATTTCAACATAGTTTAAGAAAAATCCTTCAATCCTATTTGAAAGGAGATGTCATGATATTGAAAGACATTTTTCCATGACGGACATTGAAAGACATTTTCCCATGACTGACATTGAAAGACATTGAAAGACATTTTTCCATGACGAAATCTCTCTATCCCACACCTTCTTCTAAAGTGAAGTTAAAGAGATTTTTCATACCGGGTTTTCAATTTTCACCTCAAACCATACCGTTGACGACGTGTGAGACACAAACCATGACATAAATTTCAGTTTCCATGACAGCTAACACTCTTGAGCTTTAAAAATGTATGAAAGAATTTATTTTTAATCCATTTCAGCGATTGAGTGGGCTGGGAAAAAAAAAGGCCCTTTCCATGACAGCTAACACGCTTGAGCTTTAAAAATGTATGAAAGAATTTGTTTTTAATCCATTTCAGCGATTGAGTCTGCTGGGAAACATTTTCTTAGAGCTCAGGGGAAAAAAGGCTCTTTCCATGACAGCTAACACTCTTGAGGTTTAAAAATGTATGAAAGAATTTATTTTTAATCCATTTCAGCGATTGAGTGGGCTGGGAAACATTTTCTTAGAGCTCAGGGAAAAAAAGGCTCTTTCCATGACAGCTAACACTCTTGAGGTTTAAAAATGTATGAAAGAATTTATTTTTAATCCATTTCAGCGATTGAGTGGGCTGGGAAACATTTTCTTAGAGCTCAGGGAAAAAAAGGCTCTTTCCATGACACCTAACACTCTTGAGTTTAAAATGTATGAAAGAATTTATTTTTAATCCATTTCAGCGATTGAGTCTGACTAGGAAAAATTTTCTCAGAGCTCTGGAAAAAAAAGGCTCTTTCCAGACAAGCTAAACTCTTGAGTTTACAAAATGTATGAAAGATCATGTTCATGTTTTCGAAAGCCAAAAGAATTCCTCATGAAAGAACATCTTTTTTTCCTGGTTGTGGGATGGAGTAGAGTTGCTGCATCTTGAACAACCCACACTGATCTGAACAGAAACATGAAATGTTCTTATAGATATAAGAAATGAATTGAAAGTGAAAGTAAAAATGAAATTGTATTGGCTGGAAATATTTCTTGGCTGTTGAATGGGAAAAATATTTCCAGAGCTGAAAAAAAAAAAAAAAAAACTCTCTTCCTTTTTTTCTATTAATTTGATGTCTTCACTTTGTTTACTTTGGAATGGAGAAACCCAAAGACCATGACTCATCCTTTCTAAAACATATAATTCCTAGAATGAGTCATGGTCTATTTTTAGAAACAGTGAGACAACATTCCCACACAAAAGGGGGGTAGGGTTAATTTTTATCATGTCTAGAAGACATGATAAAAATTAACAAAAAGTTTTTTTTTTTTTTTTTTTTTTTTTTTTTTTTTTTTTTTTTTTTTTTTACATCTCAGAATTTTTTTTCTGAGCTCTGAAAATTTTTTCCCAGTCGGCAACCAAGTGAAAAATTTCCAATCGGCTTTTACTTTCACTTTCAACTCTTTTCTATAAAAGCATTCCACGTTTTCTGTTCAGAACCGTGCGGGCTCTCCATGGTGCAACATGCTTTTTTCTCTCTCTACCTCATCTGCAGCTAGGATGTTTTTTTCCTTCTTCAAGAAGTGGAATTTTTTGGGAATACCTTACAATTTCACGAGCTAGCTGTTTCTTATATTTCGAGGAGATTTCAATGAAATTGTTTATAGATGTCACCTATTGCAGATGGGGAAAAAGTCTATACTGGATCGCTGGAGACATCTCATCCAGATAGGTCACGTTATATTTTTTCCCACACCTAAATAAATTGGACATGAGCCATCCTTTTGTTTTCTCATCCAACAAAGATAGACACTGCAGACCGTTTTGGGTTTTCACTCTTCGCGAACCGAGACGAGCCGCAGCCACACTTTGCGTTTTCTATGAGCGCAATAATGGATCACGTGAGCAGCCATTTTGTTTCCCATCTCACCCAGATAGGTCATGTTGTATTTTGTTTCATGCACCTAGCCAATTTTGGACATGAGCCATCCTTTTTTTTTTTTTTTTTTTTTTTTTTCTATCGAACCAAGATGGACTCTGGAGACAATTTTGTTTCTCAACGGAAAAGTAAATTTTCTGAATGGGTACCGGTGTTCGAATACTTTTGTGGCCGACTGTACACGGGGAAAACAACAATCTTGTATCGTATGTTATGTGCGGTGTTTAATATATCGTTTTTGTATTTTTAATTTGTGAGGTTGTATTAATTGTAAATTATATTTTTAATCATCTGGATTTATCATTATTTTCTTTTGTTATGTTGATAATGTTTTCCTACTGAGATTAATATCGATAGTTTGACGATATTCAGAAAGTCTTGGAAATTACAAATTTGCCTCTGATAAGTAACTTTTGCATTATTATGTTAATATATAGTGTTTGTTTATGTAATTGCACTTGATATCATATTTTTTATTTGAAACATTGCGTTTAAATCCAAATTTTCGGCTTTTATTTTCGTATATTTTATTTCCTTATTCTAAGAAATTAGATATTTGCCAGTTGTCTGGCCCTAATATGCGCAAAGAGAGTATAACATCATTTAAGATGGTGAAATAAAAGCCGTGTACGATATTCATTTACCGCAATATATTTTTTTTTTCTTTTTCATTAATACATTCATTTCGGCCCACTAGCGGCAGAGCGGTAAAGTCACACTGGTAAAGAACACTGGTAGTTCGGATCGAGGCTCGAATCCCGCGAACGAGCTGGCTGCTGAATGGGAGTTTTCGTGATTTTCTCCATGTGTAACGTGTATACGAGCCAGTTTCCCTTAGAAAGTCCTCCACGAAGGCATCCTTCCCCTTAGGCAGATAGCCCTCGCGGCTTTGCCGTAATTAAATAACCTAACCTAACCTAATACATTAATTTCTTAAATTTTTTATAATATAAGCGAGATAGTCGTGTTTTGTCGTTTAAGCAAAAGACAGCTGTAGCAACGAAAAAAATTTAAAGATGACATTCGTCTTACTGTGAGTTCATATTAATTAGGTAATATTAGCACAAAAATTCATTTTGTACTACTCAACATAGCCTCAAACCCGTTCAGGACCAGCGTCTCGTATACGCGAAGCAATGATTCCACTGCTACCAGCCCAGCGTCGCGTATACACGAAGAACTCCGATCGATCTCTGCAGCTCAGCGTCGCGTATACACAACTTTAAAACACAACGATTTATTTTAAGTTTTAAAAGCCATTAGATGGAGCTAAATGGTAACTGCTTTCACATGGGGTTGATTCATAATGCATTTGACCTTCATGTACTGGCATTAGTTTCTGTTCTGTGCTTCTGGTTTTGACAGATTTATTGGTATAAACAAACCGGGAATCACGGCTCTTTATAAGTGCGCCTGTGAAATAAAGGGGCCCAGGTGTTTTTGTTTATTTCGTTAGGAATTTCCTTTTTTTCGCTTTTGTTCTTTGCTTTTTTCGTTATTAGGATGTGGGTAAGGGCCTCCAGCTCCTAGTTTTCGTTTATGTTATTTGCTTTTTTTTGTTAGGATAGTGCAAGCAGGTGGAATGTCGCCACACTTTCGTGATGGAAAAACTCAACACCAGTTGTCCTTTTTTCCATTTATTCTGAAACTTAACATAAGCTTTCTTGGTTAATTAAAAAGTAACATTACAGCATTACTACAGAAGGGGAAAGACCGCCAGCTTTCTCGACACGTAATGCGTCTTACTCGCTCGCGATTATCAGGAAAGAGCCAGCGTATTTGTTTTTCTTACTCGATTTAATAAGTTATGTGATCAGTAACGGATATCACGCCAATGGGGGGTCTTTCCTTGATCACTTTCCGGTCATCGTGGCGGACACTGTTTTCCGATCTAGAAAAATAGGAAGTTTTCTAATATAAACCTCATGTCACATAGGGTTTGAGGATGAAATATTTCTGGGTGGCTTTCGAAGAAGTTCTGGGACATGTGCAGGACTGTACAGTCGGAATCGGTGTCCGACAGATTCTGGGATAAAAGGAGTCAATAACATTGAACTGCGGTGCTTAACCACCAGGGTGCCTGGGCGCCATAGCCCTACCCCTCATCGAATAACATGATAAAAGTTTCGAATTATGAGAAATATAACTGAATGTGCTAAATAATTAAATGAGTAAGAGTTTAAATTCATAATTACTAATAGTTAAATACATATTTTTTACCTTAAGTACATAATTACTAATCCATACATAATTAACTATTTTTTTAACAACTGTTTCACAGAAGAACACATGTACACACAAGAGAAACAAAATACGAACTGCGATGCCTTGGTACCACTAGTAAAAACAAAATGCAATCAGGAGGAAAAAAGAACAATATACAATAAAGAATCCGAGCAACAATTTGCATAATACATATACAAAATTACATATTACTAACATTTAGGATCGCCCTTGGCCGTTTATTGAAATTGGGGTCCCTAGTATCATAACAATAGTTAACAACCACAGGATTGTCCAGAAGTTCCTGTTTATCATAAAATGCCCTAGATAGGAGGCAATAAAAATCACAAAGATCCGGAGCTGGAGTCGCTAAAAACACCTCGACTTCGACTCCAGTTTTTGTAAAACAGTATGAATTTGAAATGAAATTAAAGTGAATTAAAAAAAATTAATGACAAACTGAGTTATTTTATTTTTATTTATAGATTATATACCTTAATAAATATTTAGTTATTTTCTGTTTTGTTGACATATTGATAAATAAATATAAGAGAAGAGGATGGTTGTGATATTTGCCTTTATTAATTAAATTGGTTCATTTAGTTACTTCTTCATCTCATAGATGGCATTATTGTAGCACAAAAAGAAAAGGGAGCTCATGGCTGCAAAATGCATGTTGTGTCACCAAATTTGAATTTCAAAAGTAAGTTTTTGCATCTCTCTTATTTTTTCATGCACATAAAGACTGCCTAAATCAAAATAGTGATAATTTACTCTTTAAAAACCTTATTTGTGGGTTACATTAATACAATTTCTATAAATGTGCCACGAATGCATATTTTACAAAATGGCTACAAATTTCAAGTTATAGTAAGGATACAGATGTAACAATAATACATGGGGATAAACAGAAGTGGCCATCCCAAATATAATTGGTGTATTATTTTTTATAATTAAATAATTTTTCATAACTTTAAAATTATGATGGATGCATCAAATGTCTAAGTGACTGCAATAAATAAAATATTTTTGTTTATATTTTGAAATAAAAATTGCTGAAAATATCTATATATTGATAAGAGTACAGATATTCTGCAAATGCTTGTAATCGAGGTTGCATCTCTAAATGTAAACAATTTTGATTTTATTTTTGGTGTTGAAATTAACATTTTAATATAAAAGAATGTATGAATTTAATTTTTACTTTTGAGTTAGTTTAATTATAAAAGAATATTTGAATCTAAAATAATATATTCATTTTTAACTTTTGATTTTGAGATTAATTTTTAATATAAAAGAATATATACATTTTGTTTTTTACTTTTGATTTTAAAAGAATGTTTTAATACAAAAGAATACATAAATTTTGTTTTCACTTTTGATTTTAAAAGAGTGTTTAATCTAAAATAATATATTCATTTATACATTTTTCTAGTAGTCTTTTTTTTTTTTTTTTTTTTTTTTTTTTTTTGGTACATGTTAATTTGTTTCAAGTATCGATAGTTTTTTTTATTGTTTTTATTATTTTTACAATACTTGTGAGAGTGGAGAATATTTTTTCTGGAATGAGGATCTCGTCTAATTTAGTTTTTAACGAATAACTTAAATTAAGAAGAGTAGCTTACTAATTTTTATTTTAGAATTTTTTCATGACAAAAACGTTTTTGGCTTAAGTAGACTGATATATTTCTAATAACTGAGTATTGTTCGTAGCTTATGATCTAACTCTAGTAAAATAACTAATTTGATCCTTATTTGAAAAAAGATGAAACACTCTCACTTAACTTGGTTACTGTTAATTGATAGTAGATTGATTTGCTCTCCTTGACAAGTCAATTAAACTGCAATCAATGGCAATAGCTATTTTTTCAGTACTTTAAATTTTAATTTTAATATTTGGAATTTTTACTGTTAATTTTTTTTCTATACAGATTTTAATAATTTTTACTACAATAGAAATCTAAATAACTTTAATTACTGATTTAAAATACTACTTATTAATTTTTTTTCTAATAACTCATAGCTTTAATAAAATTTCTTTTCCTTCTAAGTGCCATGTAAAAACCTTTTCTAATAATAATAATATATACACACTCTTTTGCAAAAAAATCGAAGCATCATGAAGGAAATGGTTGTTTTTGATTTAATTGAATATATGTATACATACACAGATAATACACAGATAATAAAATGATTAAAAAATCAAGGTCATAGTACCTGTTCACGGCTCACTATCACCTATTGAGTTTTCAAATTAGTAGTTGATCGAAGCGCCCCTGGAGGCAATGCATGCTTGAATTCGTCGAGGCAAGAAGTGGTAGAGATTCCTAATGTCATCCTGCGATAACCATGCCCCAGACATGCTCGATTGGTGAAAGTTCTGGTGACCTTGCTGGCAAAGGAAGAGTATCAACCGCACGGAGACAGTTCAGAGATATGCGAGAGGTATGTGGCCTGGCATTATTTTGTTGGAAAATGTCCCCAGGATGACGCACCATGAAGTGTGATGCAACTGGCCGCAAGAGGGTATCAACATATCGTTGAGCTGTTAAAGATGTGCGAAGGATGATTAAAGATGACCTGCTGTCTTAAAAAATAGTGCCCCACACCATCATACCAGGGGTTATGGCTGTATGCCTTTGTAAAACAAAAGCTGATTGGGACCGCTGGCCCCATTCTCTCCAGACGCGAACACGGTGGTCATCTGCTTCAAGAGTGCAGCGGGAACACTATACGATGCCAATCTGATGGTAGCCATAATGATCAGCTGCGACATCTCTCCAGACGACTCCGCCGATATTGTGGGATCAAAGGCAAACGTCTTAAAGGCCTCTGGGAGCATAATCCCGCCTCAGACAAGCGCCGTGAGATGGTGGACGATACCACGGGAGGTATACACGTGGCTGTAGTGCGTTGATCACTCGACAATGATACCGTTGGGGCGCTTCGGGCCTGGCGAACAATCATCCTATCTTGCCTCACATTTGTGCTCCTTGTCCTTCCAGAGCCTTTATTTCGCCGGCAATTTCCTTGTAGCAACCATTGCTGCAAACATCTTTGCACAGCAATGTCTGTACGCCGCTGGTGACGGCCTATTGCTCGGTATGACCACCCAGCTTCACGCAACCCTACAAAGCGATCACGTTCGAAGTCGTTTAGTTGTCTGTGAGGTCTTCGATATCGTCGTGAAGGCATCTTTAGTTGCTTCTTTATGGAATTACAATGGCAGCAACAAAAAAAGGATAAATTTCAGCCTCTGTTGCTGAATTTATACTTTGCCAATTGCGCACTAGAAATGTGCGCTATGATCGCAATTCCTGTTCATTTGTCTTGAAACTTTGATCATTTGCATGTTTCATCAATATGTTTTTGCATACCAAATTTCGTGACGATCGCAAAAATCCTTCTTGGTGCGTCGATTTTTTTTTTTTTTTTTTTTTCAAAAGAGTGTATATAAAATCCGTATAAATCCCTTAACGGCAATATATTTATGAAATATGCCGTACTTCGGATATATATTGTTGCTAATTGTTTAAAGTTCATCTTATGATATAGAGCACAACTTATATTTTATGATAATGAGACCTATATAGATAGATAGACAGAGAGAGATAATTAATAATTAATTAATCTCTCTAAGCTGCTGTTACGAAAGGCCGCATATTACTTGAATTTTGATAGTTTGCTGGCTAGTTTAGATTACGGGCTAACTACGCTAGAATTGTGTTAGCTTCAGCTAAATCTCTTAGTTAGATACATTTTGATCTTTTTTTTTATTTTTGAGTCAAAGCAAAAGTGGAGGCTTTGTTGTAAGCCCGAAGAAAGGGGTCGACTGTTCATCTTATTTTGATTGAAATAAAGGGTAATTAACCCTTCTTGAGTTTGCGATTTCTGTTCTTTGAACTAAGCGATTTCTGTTCTTTGAACTAAGCGATTGTTCACTTAAGTTCACAAGGTTCCTCGACATTTAATTCTAACGATAATTAAGAATTAAATATATATTTAAAGTTAGATAATTAATTAAATAATTAAAATTAGATAATTTAAATATTAATTCTAATATGATAATCTATAGCTCCTGTAGCTTAGCTTTTTTTAAAGGTTTTTCACCCATCCACATTTCATCCCTGCACGAATTTATTACTATTAAAATGTAATTTTATAAATAATACTGTATGATGCTCACTTACCTGATTATTTCTTATTTTTTAGGTATTCATATTTGCGTATTTTAAAACCTGAAGCATAATGTCAAAGAAACAACCCAGGAGAATGAATATTATGAATATTTCGCCATAACGACAGATGAAAAGTATTTTGTGTGTCAATGTGAGACTTTAAAGTGCGGTACTGATGGTGAGAAAAAAGTCTGTGGACATAAGATAAGCAGTTTCATAGGTTCTGACAAGCATGCTCCAAAAGAACCTCAAATTTATTGAAGCACATAGCACGCGTACATCCACAAATTTTTGATGAAATTGAGGAAAAGAAAATATGATGTGCAACAGGAAAAGTGACATAAGGATCTTGTACTGCTATTGGTGGACAAGCTTTCCTCACTGATGTTTTTTCACTACAGACAAGATAACTATAACCATGACTGCTAAGAGCTTTTAAAAAAATCTTATTAACTTAGCTATACAAAATGGTGTAGTCTTGAATGTATTTTCGCAACCTGCATTCCTAGGACTTAATGGCGAAATGAATTGGAATTTCATTAGACAGGGAATTTATCCGTAAACTTACTCTCAATGATGCTACAAGGAAGAAACAAAACTTGAAAGCTGAGCTCAGAAAAAGGGAAGTTCATATACTTAAAAATGGATGCAACTACTAGACACAGAAAAAACTATTTTGCAATTAATGCTAGATTTATTAATGATGATGGAGACACTGGCAGTAAAAGATACTGAAGCTCATCATGGTAGCCATTATCTTCAGAAATTCATTAAAGGGGCTTTAAAAGAATTTGAAACAAAGGAAAGAGCAGATTCTTTGCATTGTTACTGATAATGCATCTAATATAGTTATAATATAGTTAAAACAATACAAAAGATCAAAAGATGAATGCAGATGAAGAAATTGTTACGATAGATGGAAAAAGGACTGCTTTAGATATTGAAACTTCTCAAGAATATTCATACGAAATTTTAGATGATGTTGCTGAAGAGGCATCAAAAATTTGTCAAATCAAGCAAATGCGTTGTGCAATCCACACCTTGCTGTTAGAGATGGGTTGAAAAAAACCTCACGCTTACTAAATGTAACTAAATGAATCAGTTTAATTGCTAATTTCAAATATTATGAATATGTCAATAAAATAAAAAATAACTATTTATTAATGTATATAGTTCATAAATAAAAATAATAACTCAGCTTGCCATTATTTTTTTTTCCAATTCATTTTAATTTCATTTCAAATTCAAACTGTCCAACAAAAACTGGAGTCGGAGTCGACCTGTTTTTAGCGACTCCAGCTCCGACCCCTTTTACCCCAAAATATGCCCGATTCCGAATCCATGACTCCGACTCCATAGCCCTGGTTGACACTGTCTGAATTAAAATTTTTTTATCTTCCACTTGGCAATGTGTAGTCGTACAACAAAGTAAAAGATACTTAATTTTTCTTTCATACTTATTCTGTTATTAATTAACAAGCTAAATGGTTTGAAAGTGATAAACGTAGACCCATTTCAATAAATAGTAAATATTAATTGAACCTGTGAAATTACATTCTCTAGATTCATTAAAACCATCCATATGTCTAAAAAAGATTGTAAGTTGTCTAAAAAAGATTAAGTTGTTTGCGTGTGTTTAATACGTACAAATCTATGGTTTATTTCCGATCTTAAAGAAATTTTGGCGAGCTGACCTTCAAAACAAGAGGAAGGTCACGCACTGTCTATACAAGATTTTTTTAAATTTTTTTTAAGAAAAAATAGATATCAATGTTTCTACACAGTTTAAATTATGAAATCACGTAAACCATCATAGGTTCCCGTTGTTGTTCCCGCTATCAGTTATTACTAAAACCGTTAGACAGCGCCGTATTCGTTTACTCTTTAGAACACAGTAGATCTTTCCAGAGAACTGTAGAAACTTTAAAGCAGAATTTAAGTTTCTATCTGTTTTTCGCGAATATTTCAGAATCGGGGGAGAATTCACCCAAAATGGATTTTTTAAAACTCATTTCTGAAAAAATATGATGTGTAAACCACATGACTTTCTTGTACGGAATATTAAATTATACGCACTTTTTCCTTCATTTCATTTTAACTTATTGGATTGAAATACATCTACTTCGTTGATAGCGCATAAACCACAATAGAATAAATGCACTCTTTAAAATTCACCATATTTGTTTACCATAGTGACACTCTGGCGCTACGCTAAGTTCACTTAACAGCGTTACTTTTCACTCATTCTATAACTCAGAATGCAGAAAATTTATATCATTTGAATAATTATCTAATCGTTGGCACATATTCTATTCAAATATTATAATAAATCTAAAACGATGTATAAAAGAAATTAAACAAACGAAAAAAAGAAAAAGAAAGAAAGAGTTTTTCACAGACGATTTAGTCTTTCTAATTCAATTAATTCAGTCTCTATACAAGGCTAAAATACATAAAAACTCAAAATATATTTATTAAAAATTACGAAGAAAATCTTAAACACTTATTTCCTAGAATAAATTCCATAATGGATTAAGCATGATTTAATTCGCAATAATAAACAAGCATGGTGGGCATGGCAAAAATAAACAACTTTTAAATTGTTGATAATTCTACAAATATTGCACACAGATTTACTAAAGACATAAAAACCTTAACCGGAAGAGATAAGAACAGCATAATGCAATCATTTTTAAGGCACAAAATGCACAATTTACAAACATATAAGAATAAAGAAACTGAGATCACTGAGCCGAGTAACAGAGGGGATATATATATATTTATATACTTTTGGTGCGGTTGATTGCAACCAAAATACTAGGTGCACATCTACATGTTATAAAGTGTGTGTGTTTGTGAGTATGGCAAAGCCTCGAGGGCTATCTGCCTAAGAGGAGGGATGCCTTCGTGGAGGACTTTCTAAGGGAAACTGGCTCGTATACACGTTACACATGGGGAAAACCACGAAAACTCCCATGCAGCCAGCCCGTTCGCGGGATTCGAACCTCGGATCGAACTACCAGTGTTTAGCGACTTTATCGCTCGGCCGCTGGTGGGCCTACATGTTATAGAAGTCCTATATATAAAATATCAACGTTCGGAGGCTACTCGCTTTTGAGTTATGCGAGATACGTACATACATACGTACGTTCATACGTACGTAAGCATAGACGCCACGAAAAGTTCTCTTCAGAATTCATTTTAAATTAGTTTTATTTTTTTTGGGGGGGAAAAGAGTCCTTTATTCTGTCTTTACGTACAGATGTCACGCAAAAGCATCATTAAATTGAATTCGATAGTGGTAATAATGGATATTTGCGTTAAAATGTGATGCCTGAAACTTTTCGCGAATACAGTACTTCCTTTCTACTTCGTACAAGGAAGTAAAAAGGTCACAACCGATAATAAAGCAAGTATCAGTTCTTTTTAAAAGAGTTACTCGGTGCCCTTTTAGTTCTATAGTTTTATTTGAGCTTGGTTAAATTTCGTAATAAAATAAGAGAAAATCATTATCTACCTGAGATTTTGGGAAAAACTACCCCAATTTCCTTTAATGAAGGCTTTTCATTTTCTCTAAAGTTCACGCAAAGCTGGATACTTCAGCTAGTACATAATCTATGCTAAAAACTAAAAGGGCTAAAACGAAACAAAAGTTCAAAAATAATTAAATGAGCTTATTTTAGTTTCACATAAAATTCTTAGAGCCACACGCATTTCTCAGACTTTTTAGCATAGGAAAGTTATTCTATTGTCTTCAAAAATAATTTTTGTGGAAACCTATATAAAGGGCTTTAGTAAACGATTAAATTTTATATGTAAAAAATTAAATTCATATTATGCTTGTTCCCGATGCCACTTTTCATATTTTTCTAATCAAACTTATTCGGCACGTTTTTTAAAGTATCCATGAGAATATTTATTTGGCAGTTTGCACATTTTTAGCCCAAAGGAGCATTAGCCCAGAACAGCTATTAGTCGCTAAACGGCATTTTGCTTTGAATCACTTTTCAGAATGTTGCCACCAAATATTATCACCCAGTATTATGCTTAAGCCTTTCTCGACGGGAAGAGCAAACGCGCGCTTATCGCTGAGGACAGCAGTCTCTTTAGCGAGTGTCTGTCCAGGGCCGGAGCGTTTTCTTGCTATTAAGCCTAAAACCTATGAAATTACCGAAATATCAACGCTTTGTTTAATAATGTTCTGTAGAGTATTTAAAAGGTTAATGCTTTATATTATATTTTTATAGATACTTTATTCACACAAGTTATTTCTTGTTTAAATATATATTTTACACATCTTTTTCATTATTTACATACCATCTAATGTCGTTTAACATTATATATGTGAAATTTTTTTATATATTTTCACATAAAGGAAAAGATATTTAAACGGTAATTTTAACATATGATAGCTCAGGGATGGACCAACTCCGGCCCGCCGGAAGGTTCTATCCGGCCCGCGGGTAGAATCTTAATTTGTCGGTCCGAGGCAAATTAAAAGAAATATGTATTTATGTATTATATAGCCATCGTCTTTTCTACTTTGTTTAAATATTACTTTTTTTCTTCCTTTTCTTTCAAACGACTGATGACCTTTTTACTTTCTCTATTTTTGTTCCACAAAACATAAATTGACAGAAATAGCAAGCACAGACAGATTTCAATCGGTAAAGTGTTAAAAGCGGAACTTCTTTGTTAGTTACAGCTGTAGACTGGCGCCAACAAGCGGTTTTCTCTTTCTCGAGGAGCAGACATATGGAAATCCAATATAGGTGAATTGGACCTCACCTGTGGCAGACTGCGCATTTTAAGCTCCAGCCAGTGGCTTTTTCTTTTGGTGCGAGTTCTAATATCATTATTGCGTATGGAAAGATTGCGGACATATAGCATCATTTTGAATAGTGGTGAAATTATTAAAAGTATAGCGTAACTAGTGCTTGTTAAGATTATTCATGAAATATTTCAACCTCAAAATGGCTACTCAAAAACGTAAAGCTGATCCAGAGTGCCGTGCTTTTGATGATGAGTGAACCTAAAAATATTTTTTTACAGTTGTAAAAGATAAACCAGTGTGTCTCATCTGCAATGAAACTGTAACAGTTCTCAAAGAATATGTCATTTCACATTTAAGCGTAAGAATTCCAATTACGATGCAATGAAGGTAAACAGTATCCAGATTTCAAGATTTCAGTGCCATTCAAACAGAACTGAATATTTTTACCATGCCTTTCAACCTAAATTGTGTAGCAATGAGGTCAGATTTGCAGCTTGAATTAACTGAGTTGCAATCTAACAATCATCTCAAGCAGTTGTTTCTAAATATGTTAAAGTTAGAGTTTTACAAACCATTATCGAAAGTAAGTTTCACAAATTTAATACCTCAAGCCTAGAAAATCAGTGCTATGTTTGTTTCACTTTATATATGTGAACAAGTGTTTTCAACTATGATCCTTAGAAAGAATTATTTCAGAAGAAGAATGGCAGATGAGCATTTAGTCTCCTCCCAAGAATCAGTACATCTTACTTCGAACCTCAATATAAGGAACTTTTAAAAATTAAATCGCAGTTTCATTCATCTCATTAACATATTTAAATTGTAATACTTGCATATTGTTTTCAAAATTTTAGAAAAATTTATCTTGGCCCGCCATTTTTTTTTTTTTTTTTTTTTTTTTTTTTTTTTTTTTCGATATTTGGCCCGCGACCCAAAATGTTTGCCCATCCCTGTCATAGCTTAAAAAGTCTTTATAAAGCATGCCATTCGGAAACATTCCTTTCCCCTGATGTTTACATAATCAAAAACCACGTGTATGTGAGTCAGGCTACTCTCATTTTGAGCAGAAGGTCAAATCTGCATGTATCTGAAATCATATGGACATACAATGCTATCTTGTGCCAAAAGTTATTTAAACGTTCCAGGACACTGGCCGGGGGTGAATGAGAAAATGCTCTGGCACGCCAGCGTGTTGGCCTGTATGTACGTTTTGCGCACTGTGAAAAAAACGATGGTACACAGAGCCATCAAATTTTGAATTACTTAATCCCCCACCCGAACACGGGCACCTGGACGCCCGAATTTGGAATTTTGAATCTGTTTTATTATCTGTTTCATATTTTCATTCAACTTTAACGAGTTTTTGGTTAACTATTTTAAAGCGATCAATGGCAACACTGTACGGA